CCCATGCATGTGGGTTCCTATGTGTGCAGGTGTGCGTGGCGTTATGGGACACGCAGGAGTAGTGGGGATATGAGGTGGTTTTTGTCTCAGGCTAGGCTGTCTTTCCAGGCGACTTCCCCACTTGGCCTTCCTTTTGTAGCTGAAGACACCTGCTGTGACCATCTATGGGCCCAGAGTGACATGTGGGGTTCCCAGAAGACAGTTGGGCAGAACCAAAGTTGGGCTGGCTGAAGGCTGGAACCATCTAATCTTCTCTGGTGTGGTGGACACCTGCAGAAAGCTCAGGGCCAGCTTGTCTTTGCAAGGCTATCTGGCCGTCCAGGGTGCTCCAAAAGGATTCCCAAGGCAAGCAGAGCTAGGCATGGCTGCTGCTCAGGCAAGGGCTGGGAACAGTGTAAAAACCCTTGCCCATCACTCTGGTGGCTACAGCTCCACAGACTGCTAGCTGGGGAGGGGTTGGCACGATCTTCCCGAATGGGCAGCCAGGAAGTGGGACAGGGCAAAAAGCCATGGGTGCCCTCTGGGAACCAGTTTTATCTGGCTCCCCATTGGGTCACAGAAGCTGAGAGTGCAAAATTTGGGTCATGGTGGTGGTGGTGGCTTTGGGCCACTGAGCTGGAAGGTGGTGGTGGCTTTGGGCCAGTAAGCTGGAAGGGCCAAGAGCCAAAGCCTTGCCTGCAGTCCAGTCCACAAATTTCCCAGTAAGCTGGAAGGGCCAAGAGCCAAAGCCTTGCCTGCAGTCCAGTCCCCCTTCCCCAGTCAAAAGTGTCCCTCAGAACAGCTGTAAGGGAGTAGACCCCAGAACTTCCAGGATGTGACAGACTGTGTACAGATGAGCTCCAATCTTTCCCACCCCAGACAGGACCCCAGACAGTCATCCCCAGACTTTGGCCTGAGATGAGCAGTTCTGTATACTGTAAACCAGCAAAGCCGAAGCCCACAGGCACTCAGGCATGCTTCACACGCAGAAACTCATTTCCCCAAATGTGCCCAGCAAAACACCATACTGCCGCAGATGCCTGCCCAACCAGGGGTGATTACAGGACAAAATTTTGGCCATTAACACTTAGGTAGAAATGATGTGTGTTATTCTGGGTTCTGCCCTTAAAGGGAAGGGGCGTGCTCTCTGTTTCTACGTCTTTCATTGACTGGAATGCAGTTGTGATGGCGGGAGACGCAGCAGCCATCTTTAATCTGTAAAAGTGGGCAGCCTCCTATAAATGGTAGAGCACCAGCTGGAAGGAGCCGCAGCCGCTAACTTCAGGTACTGAGGACCCGCCATGCCAGCTCTGGACTGTGAAATTTGTAAGAGTGAAAGAGAGAGAGAGATTTCTTTCTTTCTTTCTTTCTTTTTTTTTTTTTAAATTTAAGCCACTGTTATTTGGCAAGGAGGGATTACAAGAGCCAGGAAGGCTCTTCGGAAGCCTGTTGGGAATTCAATCAGACATATTAATTTTCCCTCTGTGTTTACTCTTTATGTGTGGACTCTTCAGACTGCAGGTGAAGGGAAGGCTCCTTAGTCCAAAGAATCAGATGCACAAGGAGCCCCTCTCCTCCCTTGAGACAGGCGAGACAGAGACCCTGTGTGGACGGAGGGAGGCCTTATACCACCAGTCAGTGTCATGTTCTGATTAAGCCGTTGACAACTCTGATGGGCAGAGAGAGAGATGGGGAAACATCGCGGCATCAAACAGGGAAGTCTTTGAAGGAATGTGATTTATGAAGCTAATGTGTTTGGCTCTAGCACTCATGGCACGCCTGATTCTGGAACCCATCTGATGGCTTCTTGGCTCTCAGCACACAGTGCTTTCCCTGAACACTGCTGGCTGGCACCTGTGCGCTGTCCAAGTCTGATCAGCAGCTAGGCACTTATGGGGGCTATGTTTCCAAGCGCCAGTCCCCAGGCAGAGTCTGCCTGCACGACAGAGTCCAGGACAGGCACACCAGTTCCTTGAGTGCTGTGACCTCTTGGTCTACTACTTGTGGTTTTATACAATCTCTTTGATTTACTACAGGCTCTGATAAAACATTCACCATTTCTTCCAGTTAAATCTTAGAAGCCAAATCAAGTCTTCTTTTTGCCCCCTGGAGTTTAGGAGCTTGAGCCTCCTGCCTGGCCTGGAGGTGGCACCCTTACACAAGGTGTCAGGGAGGATGGCACTGATGGCTTCAGATAGAAGCTGTGTGCATTTGGTGATGATGCCTTAGGCAGAGACCCTGAGCATAAGGGTCTGCTTGGCAGACATGGTTTTCCCTGGTAGCATGTCCCAGGTGTGTTTCTGGCACACATAATCTCTGACACTTCTGCCAGGACCTGGTCATCTGCTCTGGATGCCTGGCTGGAGTCTTACATCTGCAAACAGGCCCTAATTTGCCAATGGCACTTGGTGGGAAGATCCCTTTCCAGTGACCCAGAAGACAAATAGGACTGTTCCAGAGGGGAGGAAGCAATGTGCTCCTGCTACCCAGGCTTTGGAGCAAGGGGCCCCTTAGACAGAACACTGAGGCTGTGGACCAATGGCAGAAGCACGTAGATTCTTGCCTCCCTTTCAAGTCAAGAGTCCTCCCTGGGGTCTTTACTCTGGAAGTGATAACGAAGTGTCAGGAGGAACGTAGGGGAATGTTTGGGAGGGGGACACAGACATCGCAAGTCTCAAAAGCACGGTTGGCCACCTGACCAGAGGGCTGAGACTGAGCCCCAGAGTGACTGACAGCCTCTGTCTCCCTGACCGTATATAATCTGCTGGCTAGAGATGAGATAGAAGACAGAGTTTTAGGACGCTAACCCATTGTCTTCTCCAATTGCTGGCTCTCTCTGAATAAAGCGGTGCTAAGCTAATTCCCGGTTCTGCTCGCTGGCATCTGTGAAGGACAGGCAGCCGGAACCAAATTCTAGTTTCAAGGTGGCTATAGAACAAGGACAGTGGTTAGTCTTCTGAGTCCCAACTCTGGCTCCTTCTACTGTCTGGCCTGGTGGCATCAGAGTGTGCAGTGGGAAGAGTCCCTGCCCCAGCTAATCCAAGGCATTTTCTAGGAGAAGGAACAAATAGGCTCAGGGTCCCCATGTGGGGTTGAGTAGGACCCCTGCTGGGTGTTTGTTGACACCCCTATCGCCTTCTGGGCTCTGAATGAGAAGTAGGAGCCCCTTGGAAGCAGGGAACCTAAGAGTTAGCCCTGAGATGAGAGGGTGCCCTGAGATTTGGGCAGCTTTAGCTAAAGCTTTGGGAGGTGTGGTCTGTTGTCTTGCAGACACTGGACCGAAGTCAGTACAGTTTCTTTCTGCTTATACCCCAAAGCATTTCTGAGCACTAGCTCTATGCCAGGGCATCCCATGATTCCTTGCTCTGCAGAATTAGGAAGAGGTGGTGTGGTCCCTCTGGGTTTAGTTCTGTCTGATGCTCCCTGGAGTGGGGGTTTTGAAGAGACCAGAGGGCCTTAGGGTGTATGGACTGAGCCTATGGGGGAGGGGCTGTATGTAGGCTGAGTTCAGTAACCCAAAGTGGGGTGAACAATGGAGTAGGGAGAGGTCAGGTAGAAGAAGAAAGAAAGGCATGATGGCCACAAGGCCTCAGGATGGGTGCAGAGGTCTGAGGTTGGGACCCAAGGTGGAGGCACTGTCTGCCATGATAGGAAAGTGGCACCAGTGGTTTTCAGGCCAGGGAAGACACGGTTGGATCCTGAATCCCAAAGGCCCCTGATACTGTCCCTGTGGCACCAGAGACAGCAGTATGGCTGCACTCAGGACATCAGGGGAAGCTCAGTTCTGAGGCCCAACCTCAGGGTACACTCTTTGGGTCTTCTTCCAATCCATAACATTTTGTCCCTAGTGACTCTCTCCAGGTCTGAGGCTGATGACATACTGGGATCTTGGGCTTTCAGGAGAGGTGGGTCATGACAGCCACTCCCAGGTTTAGCCTGTAGCCCACAGGAAAGGATATTTTAATGGCTTCCCTGTTGTGCCAACAACTTTAGCTCCCCTCTGGCTAGCTCAGAATGGCCCTGCTCCTGAGAGATCCATGGGCCCACTTTTCACTTTTGCAGGTCCTGATGGTGAAAGACTAGACAATCACACCCTCACAAGCTGTGGGTCCTGCCCAGCCCTGGGCAGCATCCTGATTTCCTCCATCTGGCTGAGCCCAGCTGGGAGGGGCAGGAGGGGTGCTGGAACCTTCTGAAACAAGGCCCCTTGGCCCCCTGGCCCCTCAGCCGTCTGTCTCTGTGACTCACACCTGACAGATGCTGCTGCAAGCTCAGCTTTGCTGATGAAATGAAATCAACTCCATTACTGATAGCCATTTGCCACTCAGGCTGGGCACTGTGGCAGCCCAGGGCCAGCAGCCTGCTTCTGTGTCCAGAGCCAGCATGGGCAGCCAAGCATAGGAGCAGGGGCCAGCTCCACCAGCTATTCTTCGGTTTCCCTGCCTTGTCTCTCCTCCTCAGACTCCTGCCCTGCTCCTATGGGTGGCAGACATACTCTTGATCTCTCCCAGCCTGCTCTGTCTTGTGTCTCTGGGTCTTACCTTCTCCATCTGTCATATGAGTCTGAGGGGGTGCGGGTGTATGGAGGTCATGGGGCAACTTGGGAGGGTGTCCTCATCTATTTCCCACCTATTTGTTCAAGGCAGAGTCTCTCACTGGCCTGGAACTTCACCAGGAAGCCTAGGCTAGATAGCTGGAGAGCTTCCGGGGACCTACTTGCCTTCACTGGTCATCTCACAGCCTCTGCCGTGCCTGGCTTTTTACATGAGTGCCAGGAATCTGGGTTCAGGTTCTTATGCTTGCAAACCAGAACTCCACAGATTAAGCCGCCTCCCTGACCTGGGTCAGAGGGTTTGTGTCTTGACTGCAGTGTGGAAGCTTAGGGGATCAAGTGACTGTAGGCATAGGATGTCATTAAAGCTAAATTCCAGGCGCCAGCATGTCTGAACAAAACCGGGCTCCATGCTGGGTCCCCAAGGCCCGCCTGGGCATTGCTAGCTGGGGCACGGGGAGCTACTCACACATGGGCTTCAGCTGCCCGATCAGCTCCTCCTTGGTCCACTTTGCCCACTCCTTCTTGTCAGTGTTGATGGAGCAGAGGATGGGCCCACAGGGCTTGCCACAGTCCTCGATGGCCGGCACGTTCAGGTAGTGCACCAGGACGATGTCAGGGTTCTGTGGGGAAGAGCAGACACTGGCACCATGAGGGCTCAGCAGATGTAGATCATCCCCACACTGCCTGCGTGACACTGGCATTTTATGCTGGAACAGGTGACGGCATATGAGACCATGCTGGGCACCTGGGGGATGCCAGCGCCTTCCCTGGCCTCCGTCTGCCGCCACGTGCCGTTAAATGCCCATCTTCACTCGGATGACTGGCTCTCTGGGCTCTCCCAGGCCAAGCCACTCCTGATGAGAACCTCAGACCTGCACAGGGGCTGAGGAGCATGTAGCCAAGGACCTCAACTGTGAGATGGAACTGTGCCTCCTGTGGGCATCAAGATCCCAGGCCAGCAGCCGTCCCACGGTTCTCACCCTTGCTGCTCAAGGAACATTTCCAGGTCACAGTCACTGAGGTCACTAATGTGGCACCCAAGGGAAAAGCAGCTACCAGGGCTTCAGAACTGCTTCTCCAGGCTTAGCCTCTCCTGCAGTCTGGGCCCATCCCCTGCTTAAACAGCACCTGCCACACTGTACGTCACCCAGCAGATAACCGTCACCGGGAATCTCAGACACTTTCTCAATCCACTTTCAAGTTTAGGAATGGAGAGGGCTGCTGTCCCAAAGACTTCAAGGACGTTTGATTCCAGAGGGTTGCATTTATTTATTTATTTATTTATTTATTTATTTATTTATTTATTTATTTATTTATTTATTTATTTATTTATTTATTTATTTATTTATTTATTTATTTATTTATTTATTTATTTATTTATTTATTTATTTATTTATTTATTTATTTATTTATTTATTTATTTATTTATTTATTTATTTATTTATTTATTTATTTATTTATTTATTTAAAAGATTTTATTTATTTATTATGTATACAACATTCTGCTTCCATGTATACCTGCACACCAGAAGAGGACACCAGATCTCATTACAGATGGTTGTGAGCCACCATGTGGTTGCTGGGAATTGAACTCAGGACCTCTGGAAGAGCAGTCAGTGCTCTTAACCTCTGAGCCATCTCTCCAGCCCCCAGAGGGTTGTATTTAAAGGGTCAGCCTCTCCCCACCAGATTTCATCCGGGCACACAGGCATCCCTTTTTGCCACCAGTAGCTCTGATGGTGACACCGTGGAGTTTCTGAGTAACTTTGCTGTAATGACCCTGGGGCCTTCAGGCAACCTTCTCCCTGACTCTTGAAGGAGAGATTGTTTATTTGGTTACACCAGGCCTGACAAATGAGTTAAGAACAAGCATGGCAGGTCGAATGTGGTGTTACACACCTGTGATGTCAGTACTAGGCAGCAGGATCAGGTCAAAGGTCATATATTTATATATAGATGGGAAGACAGAGTAAGTATAAGGCCAGCCTGGGCTACAAAAGACCATGTCTCAAGCAAACAATCACCAGGCAACTCGCCAATCCAAACCAATCCCTCCTCTCCACAAGTGTTCCTGGACAAACTTGCTCAACCCTTCTACCCTGACCAAAAGTGTTTCTTAAGCCACACTCTCTTCAGCTTTCTCAGGAAAACAGCAAAACACAGAAGAAAACTCTGGAAAGCCACACAGTAGGCCCTCTCTGTGTGCTCTGCAGCCCTTACCCTCTGTTTTCCTCAAACTCAAGTCGCAGGAGTGGACAAGGTCCCCGGCAGAGGGAGGCCGAGTCCGTGCTTGTTGTTTTGGTTACACTCAGAGCAAGAGTAATAAATGAAAATATGAATCAATCAACTCATTAATAAATAAAGACTCAAGACTATACCATGACCAGTGTGAGAAAGCAAACTGGAATAATTTAAAAAGATTTCCAATAAGTGTTGAAACATGCCTTTTTTTTTCCTGCCAACGCTCAGTTAACCAGGAAATTAAATCAACATGAACAGGAGCCCCCTTGCTAATGGCAGCTTTTCTGGATTGTGGAAATCGCACTCCTTAATAATAAGGATAATCCCTGCCACTGTGGGCCGATCCCTTCTTTTTAGAGTACTTTACTTCCACAGTCATTATCTCATTTGATGTCCATGCTAGCCAGGGAGGCGGGCTGGCCAGGGCAGGGCACCCTCCCTCTGGAGAGGGGAGCTCTGTGAAGTTGCTTGCCCAGAGCTCTGTGCCTGGCAAGGGACCCACCTGGGCTGGAAGCCAGGGCTCTGACTTCAAACTCAGGTCCTGCCAAGACATCTGGTGGTTGCTTTTTGCTCAGCCTGAGTGCTTGCCTACTCTTCATTTCTCTTTATTCTTGCAATATGCCTGACAGGTGGGTGGGCTGTGTGGGTCCTCCATGCCCACTGATTGGATGGGGTGCCTGAAGGGATGGATACAGGGTGACTCTCTAGAATCCTAGTTCCGAGTTCTGCTCACCCTGAAGCCGAAGCTTGACTGAGGGTTCTTGCTGGATCCTGGGTCAGGCTAGGCAGCAGGCCTGCTGCTGAACAAGAAGAGGAAAGATAAGAGGAGGGGTCAAAGGTCAGCAAGGACCAGCTGGCCACCTGGAGCTTCCTCTGATCCCTCCCCTGGAGGGAGCTTGGCTCTGCAGGAGGGAGCTGGGATGCCAAATGCCTGGGAGATGAAAATCTGTGGCTCCTCTCCTGTCCCTACAGCCCACTGAGCACAGTCTGGGTGCCTGAGACAGCCTGGGCATGACCCAGGGGAGACACAGTCTTTACTCTTGTGAAGCCTGTGGACCCCAGCCTGTGTCCTGGAGTTCCTGCATTCAGGCATCTGGAAAGTTGCCTGAGATTTGCCTGCTGCCCTCTGTGCAGCCAGCCTCCACCTATTTCTTTATGGCAGGTCTGGGCTGCCCTCCTTCTCCATTACCTCAATGCTCAGTTTTCCCAAGGACTGAATACCTGACAAGTTGATTGGTTGTTCTCATGTCTGGGTGTCGGTCTCTTCTCAGTACAAGGCCCTGGGATATTATAATGCCCTGGCAATAACAGGCTGATTTCAGATTTGGAGAAACGAAAACAGGTCGAATTATGACTTCGACTGAAAACATTTCCAGACTTGAGGTCTCCTGAAGTCAGACCCAGGAAAGGATAGGAAGCAGTTCTGAATGTGGCCACTAACATGCAAAGCTAATTCTTTCATCCCTATTACTTGTCTGTCTGTCTGTCTGTCTGTCTGTCTGTCTGTCTGTCTGTCTGTCTGTCTGTCTATCCATCCATCATCCAACCCTCTTTGAATCAGTGTCTCACACTGTAGTCCAGGCTGGTTCACTATGTAGCCTATGTTGGTCTCAGAGTCACAACAGCCTTTCTATCTCAACCTCATAAGGGCTGACCTACAGGCGTGAGTCACCATGCTCACTACCAAGCCTGAGTTTTCACTCTGAGTTGTAGCCACACTCTACCTCATAGATTCACAGAACCACCAACTTGAGGGTTCTAGATCAACTCCCCTCTGGTAGCCCATGCCTGCCACTGGGTCTTTTGTTAGCCTTTCTGTATTGTTTTGATGCAATTAACAGGAACCCGCCCTCACCGCCCCACCTCCCGGGAGCTTGGCTTGGGTTTGAAAGGGGGAGAGGTAGGAGTGCTGGGTCCCAGATTCCACCCCAGGGAGCCAGTGCGGGGGATCTTAGGGAGTTCCCACTTCCTGTCTTGGGCAGTTTTAAGACAGAGCATTTGCATTGTTTTTTTTTTGGGGGGGGGCACACATCTCTTCTTGGCAATGTTGTGGCTTTATTCATTAGCCATATACTAATGGGGTTGTCTTGGCAGAACAGTATATTCTCCTTAGCGTTCCAATGCATTGGCTTCATGGAATGCTCATTTCAATGTCAGAGCAGCCCACTGCTCTTGCCAGCTGTGATGTGGGCTGGAGTGGAGGGACAGCTCTGGGGTTTTTATGAAGCTAGAGGCTGCTCCTTAAAGTGAATGTCCTGGGATTCCAGTAGGGCTTTGAAACCCAGCATGGGAGGATCCCTATGGTACGGTCTGTGACAGTGCTGGGGAGCTAATTGGGGAAGCCAAGTCAGAGGTTCTTTAGTCTCCGAGGAAGAGCCACAGACTGGAGTTTCCTATCCTGACTCTTGGTGCTTGTAGCATCTCAATTGTAAATGAAAGCAGGGCCCCTCTCTCCCACTGGGGCTGAGGGGAGGAATCCTGCCTGGCTTGAGGAGGACTAACCAAGCAGCATAGGGATGACCCAAAGTCTTGATATTCTCAGTGGCCACCAAACCCGAACCAAGCCCAAGCAAAGCCTGAAGTTCTTCCTGAAGGGTAAGCAGTGCTCAGCATTTAGCCTGAAAGACCCCTGCCCCTTAGCCCTTTCTTTCTCAAGTTTGTCTCCTCTTCCTCCTGGAGCAGTGCTCAGCATTTAGCCAACATGTCATCTGTGGGAAAGTCCTGGATCCCACTGGCAGCCCATGCGTGTCCCCATTGTCACAGGTCACAGACTCCTTGTGGTCAGTGGAGGGCATGGTGCTGGGTCTTTGGTTCTCTCTCTTTCCTCCATCCCCCTCCCTGCTTGGTGACCTTATCCTGCCACAAACAGGGAGCTCCCAAGGATTCCTAGGCCCCTCCACAGCCTGACTCTGTTCACTGCAGGCCGCCTGCCTGTCAGCCTGATACAGCTCCATTCATTGTAGTGAGATATCCACCCTGCCCACACCTGTTGCACTGACCACGCCTGTTTGGTTGTGGTCACAGGTTCGGACAGGACCGGGGAGGCTAGGTATGGGGTGCCGGGACCCCAGCTCGAGCTCTCTGGGTTCTGGTAGGTCACGGAGAACAGCAGCCTGGGTGTGGATCCTTGGAGCAGGAACTTACGGGTCATCGGTTTCTTATGTAAGTGACTTCTCCCCGAATAAAATGAACCTATATTTAACCAGGTCCCCTGTATCTTAATCTGTGCATCATTAGCTCATGGCCTCAGAAATACTTGCAGTTTCTTATGGCCAAAGCACACTGCCACACCTGGATTCTACCAGGCTACGCTCAGGGAAGGATGGCACTATATCCCCACACTCATCCAAAAGAGCAGCCACCCTTCTCCCCCCTCCACACCCTCTATCCCTGTCAGGTATGTCAGATTTCCTTGCAGCCCGTGTAACCCTTCTGCTCACTCTGCCCACATGCCTTGCAAGCCTGGAGTCCAAACCTGTGTGGGAAGGAAGCAGTCCCCCATCTTGGGTCTCCTCACTTCCTCTCTTGTTCCTCAAACCATTCTTCTAAAATAATCCAGTGTGATCTAATAGCTTCATGGTGGCCCCTGGCCCTGAGAATAAGACACACACACACACCCCTGGTGCAGCAGCAAGCACAACGCCTTTCTCTCCAGCCACCTCTTGGTTCCCACTCCCCAGTATGCTGCTCATTACCCCATCTGCCTATGCTGCTATTGCTGGCTGATGTGTTCTCTACCTCCAGAAAGCACATATCTTTGGAGCACCCTGGTGCAGCAGCAAACAAGCAGTTTCTCTCCAGCCACCTATTGGTTCCCACTCCCCAGTATGCTGCTCATTCCCCCATCTGCCTATGCTGCTGTTGCTGGCTGATGTGTTCTCTACCTCCAGAAAGCACATATCTTTGGAGCACTTGGTCCTAAGTAGGATGTCTTTATCAAGCTCCTCCCCTCCAGGCGCAGGGGTGCATGTGAGGGGAAAGGATCGCTAGAGCAGGAGGTGGTGTCTGACTCCAAGGAAGCAGCTTCGCCCGGACACAACAAAGCTAATGTGCATATGAACTCGGAGGCTGTGACACCATGAGCAGCACCTGCACAAGCTCAAGCCAAAGTCCCAGGACTAAGAAGGGTGCGTGGACCCAGGGTCTCACCCCTAATCGAGAAGTCATTTGCAATTGATGCCTGCTGGGAGAGAACTGTGAAAGGAGGCGGTGTCCAGCAGGTTCAGGAGGAGCCTTTGACTCACTCAGAGTTGCTGCCTCTGTCCCCCACTCCCTGAGCCCCTTGTCTGCTATGCCTGACTTTCCAGATTGGCCCCCTACCCAGTCGTGGCTGCTGCTTGCCGTTTGCTGTCTGCTTACTGAATGACCTCCATGGCTCTTCTCCTCCCCGATGTTCTTATGGCCCTTGCTGTGTCCAGTGTCACGCCTCCTCCTGAGATGGGGGTCCTGTTTAGAGAGCTGATGAGACGGTGTGGGCAAAGGGGTTGGAGGGGATGGGAACAGAACTGCTTTGAACAAAGAAGTGTCCACAGCCCCACCCTCATGGCCAGCAGTGCAAAGGGGGTGTTGACCGGCTACTCCTGTAACGCATGCTAACATGAAGAGGCTCTGCCACACACCTCCAGCTATATATGTTCCATCACACCAGCAGCTGGCTAGGGGCACCAGCCCAGGGGGGCTGGAAGGGGCCAGCTGGCATTTTGTTTGTTTGTTTGTTGTAACTGATAGATCCTCATCAGCTTCCCTTGAAAAGTCCTAGCAAGGGAGGTCAGCTCATGGGCCGCGAGGCAGACGTGTGGGAAAAGGTGGTACAGAGTGAAAGAGCAAAGGACGGGAGGAGGCGCCCAATCTGGTGACAGCCAAGGGATGGGCAGAGACTTGGGGGGCAATAAACTGCTCAGCCCTTTGAGGCCCTCTGGTTTCTGAGAGGCAAAGGGCAGGGTTCAGGGCCCCACATGGCTCACATGGCTGATCTCCCCAGTTATAGTTCTTGCTCTATCAGAACAGGGAAGGCAGTTCAACAGCCTTCACCTCCCTGGGAGGGAGGTGAGTGGTCACCTCCCTGCCACTAGCGCTCACATTGCGGGCCTCTGCCCCAGCCAGTTCTCAGTTCTCAGCCCTGGGTGTCTGACGGGTTCTGGGGTGAGTTACGGCTGCAGGAGTGAGCTAGTCACCAAAGATCCACCAAAAAGGACCCAAGTCACCAAGAGCAAGACGCCTGGGTCATCCACTTGGCCACTTCCAGTATGAACTGGGTGCCAGGTAGGGCCCTGCTCCCTGGGCGCCTCTCTTCTGCCTCTGTGAGGAAGGACGCTCAGAGCCAGCACCCTTTGTGTAGAGCAAGGGGGACAGCGACGCAGGAAGTGGCTAAAGATGCAAAAAGCGGTTGGTTTTGATAAAGAAAAATGCAGCTGCAACATCTGTTTGACTCTTGTTTGCAGCGTCATCAACGCTAAGTGGTCAATAAATCAGAGTGGCATGGCGCTCCGTTTCTTCTGCGGCTCTGTCATTAATCTCATGCCAGTTCTCATGAAAAATGAAGGAGAAAGGCCGTGTGATAGTGAAAATGTATACATTACCCAGAAAGTCATAATAGCATGTAATAGTGCCGCACACCCCCCTGCTTGCCGTGGGGGCGGGAGGGGAGAGCCCGAGAGGCAATGGCTGCGGGAGGGGAGGGAGGGGTGAGTAAATCAGCATTGTTGAGCCAAGAGCCCGTCCTGTGAGCGCATCTGTCACATTAGCACTGTTTATGCAGATCTAGACGGCCCTGAGAGCCTGATCTGGAGAGGCACAGCTTTTTGGACCTGTGTGCTTGATAAACAACCAGGATCGGCGCCCGTAAAACAAGAGTGTGGGGCTGGCAGAGGGAAGGGCAGGATTTATTGGGGAATGGATGGATGACGGCAGTGGGCAGCTCAGGGACGGGGGTGTCACCAGGCTGCATGGTAGAGAGAAGTCCTTCTGTCCATGCTGTAGCTGCCCCTGGCAGCCTCTGTGCTTGGAGGAAAGTACTGGAGCAGGGCTGATGGGTCCAGAGGAAAGAAGCTGGCTCTCCTAGCACCCAGCAGGGTGGGCCTGCCTTTGTGTCCCCCACATAGAGGCCTGCCCCTAGGTAGGATGGAGTTCAAGCAGGTCACACAGCTAGAGCTGGGAGGACAGAGGAAAACCCTAGAACTCCAGCTTCTGAGAAGGGCCAGGGATGCCACACCTGTCGCTTAGGTCCCCTAGGCTCTGCCAGTCCCTGGAGGATGCGGGCTCCTTCTTTGTTCTTGCTTCCTTGTCACAAACCAGAAGGGACCCTCTCATGCTACAAGGCATATAATTGCCATATTCTATGGCCCTCTGTGGGTGGCTGCTGGCTGTTGGGGTCAGGACTGTGCTGTGCCCCCCAAAGCTGGGGGCAGACTGTGCTGCTCCCTCCCCCATAGAAATGAAAGCAGAGCCTCTGTTTCCAGAGATGGCTTCTGAAGACAGCTCTGTGCCAGTCTCGCCTCCCAGTCTCAGCTTGCCTAGTTTAGTCTTCCAAGCACCTAGACAGGATAGAGAGTCTGTGTGAAGGACAGAGATTTCAGCCCACCCCTGCTAAATGCCTTCTCTTCACTCTGCCAGGGATCCTGGAGACCTGATGGATGGTGAGTGAGAGGCTCTGATCTAAGCCTTAGTGCCCATGGCTGCTGCAGCCCAGTCACTATCACAGCCCAGGAGCAAAATCAGATGCCAGAGGCCCAGCTGGGGCCTGTGGGCTCCAGGAGGTGGTGAGTATAGTGGTGGGGCAGGGTTTAGTGCATCCTGTACCAGCCCATGAGCTCAGGGCAGGGCTAGGCCTCAGGTGTTCTGTATCAGCATCAAATACCACCAGTGGTCAGAATGTGGTCTGTGTCAGGCAGGCTTTTGTAGGGAGATCCCAGAAAGCTATGAGGGACATGAATTAGGCTTGAGCATCTGTAACTTCTGGGGAGCCCAGACTGGGAAGGAGGGAGAGAGTAGGACCTGAAAGAGGGGGGTCTGGTACCCTTGAAAACAGCAGGACTCTGATCAACTGTCCTTCCTGGGAATCAGGTCCTGCCTGTATCATGTACTGGGTCCAGGACCATTATTGCAACATGAAGAACAGGTTTCCTGGTCAGTGTTCTGCAGGGTTCAGGGAGCTTAGTGGATGACCAGTAAGAGGCTGGGAGGTGCCCCTTGGGTAGAGGCCAGCTGCCCCGGGAGCTCTCTACCCTGTCGCAGGGCTGCTCTCATTAGATGAGCGTGCGCAGAGGCAGGGGCTGGGCTGGCAGCCCTTCCTGCTTTCGAGGGAGGCTGGAGACTTAATTAGTTAATGTGAGTAAAGTGGCCTGAAGATGAAAAACCCTGGGTAATTGCTGAGCGCTGCTGCTGTTGTTATTACACAATTACCAGAATTTTCTAGTCACGGAAATCTAGTTAAACAATTCCCACCTGGTGTGGGGTTCTGGGATCCATGTCGGCTGAGGGTCTGGCTGACTCTGATTCCCCAGTTGGAAGGTAATGGAGGAGAGGCACACGGATGGGGGGCACCAGGCCTGTGTGGGTCCTGGCACATCCTGGGCACCCCAGGGGTACTTTGTCTCTGTTCCAGAACAGGCAAAATTGTACATGCAAAAAGGAGAGTCCTGCCTGTGTGGATTTCCCCCCAAAGTTCTAGAAAGTTCTGCTCAGTTTCCCAGGAGGCCAAAATAACCAGATGCATGCTGCTAGGGAGAACTTCCTGCTCCAAGCTAGCCCTGGCTGTCTGCAGACACACTCCAGATGGACAGGTGGGGAATTCATACCAGCTGGATCAGGCTACAGCTTATTAAAATCCTGGGCGACCAGGGAAGAGTTGTCCAACCATATCTCCGTGCTTGCAATGACACTAAACTGTTATAGGTATCAGCTTGTGGAGGGAGGTAGTTTTGGTGGGAAGTGACAGACAGGGAAGACAAGGCTGGGAGAGTGAATGGACTTGCTCATGGATGGCCAGAGCCAGAGGACCTCACTGGTTCACAGAAGCCCTTGGCCCAGGTTGCTGCTGGGACCAGAGGGGCATAGGCTGGAGAGCTGGGATGATGTGGCCCCTAGGAAGGGGACACTGAAGGCTGCCTTTGCTAGGGATGTTGGTCTGAAAAGGTGAGTGGAGTGTCCTTG